GCCGCCGCCGCCGCTGCGCCCGGTACCCGGCCGGTGCATGTTTGCCCATTCAGCATGGAGCGAGTTGCGACGAGGGGGGTTGCCGGCAGCGGCGGCGGCGGCGGCGGCGTTGCCGCCACTGGCTGCCAGCAGCACCGGATGCAGCGGCGACAACGCATCTGGAGAGTTACGGCCAGAGGGTGCCGCCGAGTCTGCCGTACCACCTAGCCAGGTCCACAGGCTGCCGCTGCCGCCGCCCCCGCCGCATCCCCCGCAGCCGCTGGCGGCCATGGCGGCTTGCAGATCAGGTCCTGCTCGCGCCAGGAGCCCCATCAGGAATAGGCACCAGCTCCTGCCGTACGACGCATCGTACAGTAAATGTTTTTCACCCAAAGCCGTCAACGCATCCACCATGTGCGTTCACAGGGGACGTGGATTGTTGATGGGTTTTAAATTCCCAGGGTTTTGGATTCCCAGTAAGGGCCGGCGGCCGCGGCGTCCGTCGGCACTGGCGGAGAACTAGTTATTGGGAAGGCGTACTCCGAGAGCTTGTGTCCTTCCCCCCCCTTGCCACACCACGGCCCTTTCCCCGCACCCTCTTCTCAACATCCCTCCCTCCGCAAACTCTAGGAGACCACAGGGATCCACATCCAGACGACATACATACATGCATACATACCTGCGCCCTGCTAACGAGCTGCGACTGGACTCTGGGCTCCTGGCTGAGGTTGAATAAGGCCCCACTGGCCGCCATGCGAAGCGCCACGGAGGGGTTCCCCAGCAGGACTGTGTGCGTGTATGTATGTGTGTATGTGTGTATGTATGTGTGTATGTGTGCGAGGGAGGGGGACGAGAACACACGGGTCGGCAACGGGTCGGCCTGATTTGGTTCGACGTGAGTCGCGGGACGAAGGTGAGGGAGATGCGGATGGAAGGCTAGGTTCCGGAGCGCGGTTCCGGAGCGTGGTCGTCCATGAAGATGGGAAACAAACAAACAAACCCAAAGCGTGTGTGATTCCGAGTCCGCGGGAGAACGCACGGGAAAGGGAGTCACAAGCAAGAATGACAAAGGGTCTCGAAGTTGAAGATAGAGCGGGGGATGGACAACGGAATCTCAGATGTGGAAGGTAAGGAAGCCGTGTAGGAGGAAGGTCTTTTTGTGCGTGGGGGGGAGGGACTCAGTGTATGTATGTAAGCATGTACGTACGTACGTATGTATGTAAGCATGTACGTACGTACGTACGTATGTATGTAAGCATGTACGTACGTACGTATGTATGTAAGCATGTACGTACGTACGTATGTATGTAAGCATGTACGTACGTACGTATGTATGTAAGCATGTACGTACGTACGTATGTATGTAAGCATGTACGTACGTACGTATGTATGTAAGCATGTGCGTACGTACGTATGTATGTAAGCATGTACGTACGTACGTATGTATGTAAGCATGTACGTACGTACGTATGTATGTAAGCATGTACGTACGTACGTATGTATCTAAGCATGTACGTACGTACGTATGTATGTAAGCATGTACGTACGTACGTATGTATGTAAGCATGTACGTACGTACGTATGTAAGCATGTACGTACGTACGTATGTATGTAAGCATGTACGTACATACGTACGTACGTATGTACGTACGTACGTACGTACGTATGTACACAGGGGGGTGTTGGAAATGACCGACACTCATATACCAGTGAATCGTAGCCACAGTAATAGGACCCAACGGGGGTCCGGCGCTTTGCTGGTCTTAACAGGTTATGAGCCACGAATGGCGCATTGCGCTGCCGAGAGGTCGCCGGATCGATACCCACTGGCTGTTGCCCAGAGAATGGGAGACCGGGATGAGGCACGGGAAGGCCCGGAGCGAGAGAGTGTCGCTCACAGGGGGGTGTTGGAAATGACCGACACTCATATACCAGTGAATGGTAGCCACAGTAATAGGACCCAACGGGGTCCGGCGCTTTGCTGGTCTTAACATGTAAGCATGTACGTACGTACGTATGTATGTATGCATGTACGTACGTATGTATGTTCGTACGTATGCATGTATGTATGCATGCATGTACGTATGTGGGCCCCTTATGCCCCTTACCCATGAGGATCTGCACCAGCGCACTGGTCCCGGACATCAGCAGCGGCCGCGCCTCACTGTCACCGCTGATGCGCCACAACAAGCTACATGCCGCCCGAGCCGCCTCGTGGGGGTCCTCCCACGCGTTCAGAGCCGTCGCCGCAGCCGCAGCCGCCGCCCGATCCGCCGCCCCCTGCTGCTGCTGCTGCTGCTGGTGGAGGCCTTTACCCGCCGCGCCATCGCCGGGGCTGGGTTCTTCACCCGGCGGAGGAGCGGCAGCCGCGGAGGAAGCGGGTAAGGGGGCCGCCTCCGGCACCGCCGCCGCGCCCAAAGCTCCGGCGCCTACCCCTGCCTGGCTGCCTCGTACCAGCGATGACGGCTGCTGCTGCTGCTGCTCCTGTTGCTGCTGACCCCCCTCGAACACGGTATTGTGTACGGGCATGTTGTTGGCGACCAGGTCCAACAGGGCCTGACAGCAGCCAGGTGCGGAGGCAAGCTCCAACACGCCTCCAGGGCCGCAGCGGCTTGACTCCAACAGCACCGCCACAGCGCGCCGTTGCGCAAGGGCATCCTGAAGGTCATTTTGGGTATGGGTGTGGGGAGGAGAGGAGGGGAGGGGAGGGGAGAGAGGTTGGGAAAGCGGAATTCGGAGGTCGCCACCGCGGGAAATTATATGCCAGGGAACAAGGATTGAACTGCTAGCGTCAGTGGTGGGCGGCAGGGGAGCGGAATTCAGTGGAGCAGGGCGCAGGAGGAGGCCTGGTGGGGGTGGTGGGGGGTGAAGGTGCGGGTGGGGGGTTTGGCGGGGATTACTGCTTTAGGGTGCCGAGGTGGCAGCGGTACAAGAGTAGGGAGGTAAAAGGGAGGCGGAGGGCGGAGAGATGGGCGCTGCAAGGGAGGTGAGGCAGGAGATGGGGGATATTAAGAGAGCAGCAGCATCGGCAAGGGGGTGCGGGTAATGCTGCAGGTTAGGAAGGTGGGTAGTCTGGGGTAAAGTGGGTGTGTTGGTGGCGGTTTGGTTGATTTGGATATGCACCATCCGGAAAGAGTGATGTGGGTCCAAGCTTGGACCTGACATGATAGCTCTTGATGTCCTCTAAAAGGCCATGGATATCGGTTTCAGGTTGTAACCCCAACGAATTCTGAGTTTTGCTCTGTTTTGTAAGCCAGTTTTGAATGGGAGGTGGGAGTCCTGGTAGGGTGTTGGTGAGCATTTGTGAAGCGCATGCGTGTTTTCACTTACTTCTTACTCAAAACCGCATGACAGGCATGACCGGCTTCCCAACCCCGCCCCTTACCCTCGCAGCCGAGGGACATATGGGTGGGATGGACGCGTACCTTACTGCGCAGCGCGGCACACAACGGCTGCAGGAGGCCCGCCTGATGTATGGCAGGTAGTGCCAGTCGCTGCTGTGAGAGCGCCTCCAGGAGCTTCGCGCAAGCCTCTTTGCCATGAGGGGAGGCTGGAAGCTGCTGTGCCCATTTCAGCAAAGTCGCTTGGTCGTTCATCCTCTACCGGCACACAAACCAAGCGCAATAAGTTTCGATGATTCATGATATCATTGATGTTCGTTGAAATTTACATCGTGCCACGATTGGAGTAACTCGCAACCACATGTGCCATGAACATCGGTAAGCTTCGGGTAAGTGGCTGGCCAGAAAGTTAAGGCATATTTATTTACTTAGATATCCGACAGATGTGACGCTGCATATCTAATTGCTGTCTGAGGGAAGTCCTCGACAGTCGGTCGTACGGAAACGCGGGAAAAAGCGGTTGCTGCTTATTTTCAATAGAGCCTGTTAGGCACAAATTGCGTTGTAGAGGACTACGCAGCCTCTGCAAGGTGTTGGTTCCATATATAGTGCAAGATGTCTCTGTTGACGGGCAACCCACATCTCATAGATATTGTGGACGACGATTGGGCACGAGATACCCTTCCCAACGATAGTAAGATCTCGCCATATGGGCGTCTCGGAAGTCCTGTAGAGGAAACAAGGCAGCTAACTGTCACTATCGGTATACCACCTGTGGTCTTTCGTGGCTGCAGGCATCCCGCTGCCAGAGGGCGCTGTGGTGTTGGATGATTCGGACGAAACCACTGGAGACAGTAAGCAAGAGATCAAGCGAAAGCAAAAATGGACAGAGCTCGCTATCCAGCCCCACTAAGCACGCCCTAACAGCCCGCAAGCGCGGTATTGAGCTGACTGGAGGAGCGACTCAAGGGAAACTGTATTGTTACAAGCGGCGGAGAGTTGCAAGTTGTCCAGTCAGGACTAGCTGCCACCGTGTAACTCGTCGAGACTCCGCTGGCATACCCTCCCGGCGCCCTCGTTCCGCACACGCCTGAATCCCGGCGAATCCCTTCCAATCCCTTCCCAATTGGTACTTCCCGCCATAATTCCCACATTATTTATGCAATATATCATCAGCATGGAGCTTACCTTCCTTATGAAGCCATATGGAAGTCGTCCTCTCATGAAACTAAATCTTAGCGACACACATCATCAGTCCCCCCACCCCCCAATACCAAGCCAGCCCTGATATCTTTCTTGTTTTGCCCAGCATCTCAGCTGTCAGGCACCTCCCACGTAAAGCCCTCTCCCAAATGGTCGCGTAGGGCATCCACAATCCCTCCTGTTGGTTAGGAATACGACATGACGGCGAATACGGCAACGATGAGAACGGTGGGTAAACGTAGAGTTAAGGATAACCCAGAAGATGTGCGCATGCGTGTGCATTACTTGAGAGGAGGCGTGTCGTATCTGCGGAAAGAGTAAAGAGAGGGCCTTTGTAGGTAAGTCAGTCTAGAAGATGGGGAGGCAACGCGCGTAGAATACCTGCTCGTTGTAAGTTCTCGCTGTACGAGAGAAGCGTACGCGAACACACTGCGATATTGTTGACGAGGGTGTTGTGGACACGACCACGGAGTGCACCGGTTTCTTAGTGCTCAGCCTTCTTACGTCGTCACAACAACAACAGCCTTCTTGCGCTGCGCTGGATACCATAACGCGGGCTACAGACCTGTCAGCATCCGCTTGGCTGCAGGTCATCGTAATGATTTCCCCCCTGGGCCCGGGGCCTGTAAGCTCCACACCACCCGCATCCATGCCATGTAAACGGTATACATCCTCACCCCGCCCGCTCAGTCTTAACTCACCTCGTGGCTCACCTCTTCTGGCACACGCACATACGTGGACAAAACCCTTGCAACCCACCACCACCCCGGCACCTCTGGCTCGAAGACCTAATCACCTGGTATAAGGTCCTCCCCAGCCAGCAGGTTGGCCAGCTTGCCCACAAGCAGGATCTGGTCGTGGTCATTGAGCTTCGTGGCCAAGGAGAGCACGTCACCCAGCGTTACCTCCGGCTTGGAGATGTAGCTGTAGTAGTAGCAGTAGGCGAAGACAGCCATCAGAATCTGGAGCAAGACGAGCGGGGTCGCGTACGGCCCAGAATGTTCACAAAGTCACGAAGTGACTAAGTGACAAGGTTGACAGCACTTGGGTTGTATGGGTCCCCCGGTTACAGACCGTTAAAGGGTAACGTAACTTCAGGAGGTGTCACACCGGTGAAGGAATCACACATACACACACACGCGCGTGTCTGGCACGGACGGGGATAGATTTCCACCCAGATGCCGGGGCACAGCCGGGCACCATTCCAGCATTCAAGGAACGGTGTCGAGTGCTCGAGTTGCCAATCCACCGATTAGGAAGCCGGCGAGGCCGTGGTGGGGCGCTCTAAGCCCGCAACCCACCTGGCAATCGAAACGATCGGTCACTCCACCATGGCCTGGAATTGTATCTCCAAAGTCCTTCATATGGAAGGCGCGCTTGAAGCCGCTGGCGAAGAAGCCACCTGCGAAAATACACACACACACATGGGACAGCAGCCCGTTGGCAAAGAAGAATATGATGAGAACGATGGGAGGAGGTGGACAACAAAGCAGCCCAGGAAAACTGCCAATGTTTCCGCGCTGTTCGTTGACCGCTGTGTTGAACGACAAGCCCACGGGCCTGACTGGCAGGAGGCAAAAGTAAAGACAAAAACACGGTCCCCATGCAACCCCCGACGGCCCCGCGCCTTTGTAACCCCCCACCTCCACGTTTCTTAAAACTCTCGCTCCTGCAATCCTCACCACCCAGCGAAAGCCACAACCCCACAGGCGCAAGTTTTTTCCTCACAGGTGCAAGCCCACCAGCAACCGGTCAGTGAAACCAGTACCCATGGGCCTACCAGCAACAGGTCAGTGAAACCAGTACCCATGGGCCTACCAGCAACAGGTCAGTGAAACCAGTACCCATGGGCCTAATAGCCTGGGGGGGCTCTCACCAAATGGCGCAATGATGGACGCAAAGGACGCCAGTGACAGCGCGTGCAGCTGGATGGGCGCAACGGTGAAGGTAAGCTCCCCCAGCCAGTGCCGCAGACCGGCCGGCAGTGCCTCGAACATCAGCCCCAGGTAGCTGACCGCAATCGCAGGTAGTTTGGATAGCAGGTCGTGCGCCAGGTCAGACAGCGCAAAGGTCTCCGGCACGAACACCTCGTCCGGAACGCAGTCCAAGCCCTTGAACACCGTCAAATCCTGTACCCGTGTGTTGGTGGTGGTGGTGTGCACAGGGCACGGGACGCAGGGTGCAGGGTGCAGCGACACGAAGACCCTAGGGTTTGAGTGATGGAGTTCAGATGCTTGCCCTTCCCAGCAGTATGAGCAGGATGAGCAGCCCGCACCTGGGTCGTCATTCATAACCCCCTAGGTCTATCCCTAGCTATTAGTTGTACTGTTCCTAGACTATTTTCCTAGGCATTTCTTTAATGGCTGCACGCAACGCATTGTGTTTTTTTTTGTGTGTCTATGTGTGTGTGTGCACGTGCACTGGACGTGAAGATTAGAAATGCGGTCTGCTACCTACCTTGCGTGGGCACGTCAGCCACTTGTATTTGCTCATGACGGCCGCCAGGAAGAAGGCGATGACCAGGGTGCCCAGGAAGCCGCCGATGAAGCCCTCCCAGGTCTTCTTGGGAGATAGCTTGATCAGCGGCGTGCGACCGAAGAAGAAACCTGCGCACATACATACATACATACATTGGTAGGTTAAGGCCTGACTTCTGCTCCCGGAGCGTCCGGGTTCAAATCCGCCTGCCGTCCCCACGGTGTGTGAGGGGTGTTGACATGGGAGGTGGCCCCCCATCTTGTGGACGGTGTAGGGCATGATAATATCAACTTGCGAGTTGACCAGGAACTAAATTGAGGAGCCGATAACCCGCTAGGTTTGGTTGGATGCTGGTGGTGAGTTGCTGAACCCAACAAATACATTCTGAAGTCGGATGGGGTGAATGGACTAGGGTGCCCCTCTCACAGGGAAGAGCAGGGAACTGCCTCCAAGGGAAAGGGGGCCGCTGGTGAAGCTATACCACCCTGTAACATACATACATACATACATGTATTTAACATATATTTTAACACACCAAAGTCCGCATAGATAGCTAACCAAAACGCTTATCAATAAGAACAGATCAGCACGCACTGCTATTCACCGGTGTGGTCCGTCGCAGCCTTCCTTGCAACCTCAACCTTAGCTCACCGGCCAGGTAGGCGCAGATGTCGTTGGCGACGATGAGGAAGGCGGGCAGCACGTACCAGATGAGCCCGGAGAAGATGTTGGACACGAAAAACGACCTGACGGCGAGTATGATAGTATGAGAGATCGGCGACAACATTGTGAGAGAGTGAGTGTGAAAGTGGGGGCCTGGGGCCCGGCAATGCCGGGAGGATGGGGAGGACGGGGGAGGCAGCGGCAGCGAGGCGCGGTAAGCAGACGCCTGGCCGTTGCCAGCCCCCCCCCCACCGCTTGCGGTCGAAAAAAGGTAAGGAAAGGAAAGGAAAGGGCAATGCGCAGCTGCACACGCACACTCCAGGGTCCTCGAAAAGGAAAAAGAAAAACAAGAGCAAGCGCAAGAAGTACTAAGAAAGAGATAGCGTCCTTCTCCATTTCCTCGGCGCGCGTGAGGCTCCTAGGCCACGGATCCGATGGCCATCTCCCCCTTCACAGCGGCGAATATTTTCAGTAGCCACAGCAAACCATCTCCCCGGAATGTGTCCTGAACCCTTCGCCTCAGAGCTTCCCACTGCTTCCGAAACCTATTCCGGCGTTGTTGACCTGGTAGCAGTGAGGAGAAGCTCAGGGCTAGTGAAAGTAGTAGCTGAGGAGGAGAGCTGGTAGTACCCAGTGAAAGTAGTAGCTGAGGAGGAATACTTGAAAGCGGTGCTACCCTCGACCGACTTACGTGGGCACTGTGGTGATCAGGATGATCATGTGCGTCCAGGCGTAGTGTGCGAACTGGTGCATGTACACGCCCTTTTTCAGGCTGAGGACGAAGCCCACAAAACCTGCAAAGGTAGAGTGTGAGGGCGGCCACGGAAGACGGGGGTAAGACAAACCACTGACGGTGGAAGCAGAGGTACCAGAGAGATATAGACGGTACATAGTCCAGAGGGTACAGCCACGGCGGAAGGGTAGCAACACTGGGGGGGGGATATGGGGGGGGAGAGCAGCGGGGAAGGGCCGTGGCGGCGTGGAAAGGGCTTGGAAGCATTTCACTTCCATGCCGCGGGGGTTCCACGCTGGTGATCCTTCTCCAGTGCGTAAAGCCACTGGGTGCACTGCAGCGCTTTCC